CTGTACAAATATAACAGTGAACAACGGCGGCACCATGTCAACTGGTGCCGCCCAATCTGCAGCAACAACCACACCCCTGGGTCACTCACGGGACCTCCAGCAACCTTCCAGCAACTTCCAACTCCCCCACAACTACCAACACTACATCACAGCAGCCCACGCGGTCCTCTGGAGCCACATCACCAGCTGGGAGCGTTGGGGGACCAGCAGCCCCACGGCTTCAGCTGCAACGTCTGCCTCTTTGCTATGGGCCCTGCAGGCCCCATGCTGGTGCCTGTGATCTCTGTTCTGATCTGCGATGCATTGGGCTGATATCGTATCACAGATTCTGTCACACCATAATAATGCTCTGAAGTGCTTTGTCTGCAGTCTGAGTTCTTTTACACTTTTGATCACGACTCAATCCCAAGACATGATGTATAATGCTAGGCTTCAGATGTAAGCTACATAAACACAGGATACATTTCTCTGGATGTTTTGGCAAATTAAATGCTAATTGAACTACTATTGGACTCTTAAATGTATTTTTTTATGACAAACTTTAGAAACTGGGAGGGAAATAATGGGAACCTCTTGGGGAAAATGTCAATAGATCTTTTCCACAGCAGACATTTTGACATGTCATAGTAGGACAAGCACAGCTGTATTTATTAGCATTAATGATAGCTGCATCCCATAGGTGAGGTCCTGGTATTGTGCACACTGGCTCACTGGAATAACTCACTGCAGCCGTCGTTAAAGTTATCACTTTCACCTGTGCTTCTCCCACTATCCACCCCATTTGCCCTTGCACTGGTCTCGGTCTGAAAAGGATACCCCATTGTATTCAAATAACATCACATTCAAATTCAGACCGTCTGTCGTGAGCCATCTTGTTTTGCTTTTCGTCTCTCATGAATCTGCTCACAGTGTATTTCAGTTCATCTGTGTAATCTTTGCAAAGTGATGGCTTTTACAGTTTAGAATGAACATGTTGTCCGCTCTGGGTCACGTTCACAAATACTAAACTCTGACATCAACTGTGTGTTTATTAATTTGCCTTAATTATCGTCAGATTAACATGTCTTTTCACTGGGATACTGATCTTCCATGCAGCTTCAAATTCAAATAGGGAATCCTGCTTTACATTGTACTTCATTCAACGATGTGAAGCCAAAAATACATCGTCAAGTATTAATCTGTGAGTGTCTCACTAGATTCTACGTATAATCACAGCCATAAAAAGATATCATATAAATAGCTGTAGTTTAGTGATTGGAGGCCTTTTTGCTGAACAGAACCAGCAGAGACAAGGTAGCTCTTTTCAGCTGGCTCAGTTTTTGCATGTGTGGTCAAGAGCTGGGGTGGAGACTGGGGCAAGGCTTCCTGAATTCAAACAGGTATCAGGTTAAAAAACGGAATGCCTTATAAAAGACCAGCCTCTGGGGAAAGAAACAGTGAGTAGCTGTTACAAACAGCGAAGCGTTCACAAGAAATCTCTGGCTGTCTTGTTTGTCCTCAGCAGGAAGTCATCTCTCTTCCACCATGAAGTATCTTTTCCTGGGGCTGTTTCCACTGGGTCTGCTGGGATTCGTCTGTGCACTGGTAAAGATCCTCTTCACTGTAGTAGTACAAAGTAGATAAGTGTGGAAAAAAAACTAAATTGAATGGAAAAAACTTTTGATTATTCTTTTTCGTGAAATTTGTACCGCAAAACTCAAATAAACTCACTCCAATAATCCTTTAGACTTATGTTTTATATCCTCCCCTTGTACTTTCATTGTTAATGCCTTTTGTCATTTTAATCAATGCCAAAATTAGAAACATGTATTCAAAGAGTACTTTTTACACTTTAAAATATTGTACTCCATATTATGTTATGGCATAAATATGTTTGTTTCGTCCCTTTTTTCTTCACACATCACACAGGACACAGAACAAACATCCCATGGTACCACAGAAATGCCCTTCACCTCGAAAACAAACAAGCCAGTTGATGACAACGCCGCTGACGACCACAACAACAACAACAACAACAGCCCCACAACAACCAGCCCCACTGGAACCAGAACCACAGCCACCAGCCCCACAGGAA